GCCTGACCCAGAAGGAAACATTGGCCATGATTGTTATGCACGGGATCTGGGGTGGAATTGGTCCGTGTGTCTAGAAAGCCCCATACGTGATTTCCGCAGCAATGAACATGACAAAGAAGCTAATGGAGGATTCTTAAGTCAGGGAGGAAGAAGATCAAATTCTTGTTTTTAGAAAAATTAGCGACAACCCAGGACGCCTGGGTGACTCCGTTGGGTAAGCATCCGACTTTTGACTTTCGCGCAGCACATGATATGGTTCCTGAGATCAAGCCCCACATGGGACTCCGTGCTGATAGTGCAGAACTTGCTTGGGATTCTCTGTCTCTCTCTCCCTCTCCTCTTTCACTGCCCTTCCCCCTGCTTACATGCTCGGGGAATAAATAAATAAACTTTAAAAAAAGAAAAATTGGTGGCAACCTAGATAGACCTTAAGTCAATCAATCATAGCAATCTGACCTAGGCATGAGAGCTAGGGGGCGCCTGGCTGGCTCTGCCCAAGGAGCATGCCTACTCTTGATCCCAGAGTTGTGGGTTTGAGCCCCACATTGGGTGTAGCGATTACTTAAGTAGATAAAACTTACCAAAAAAAAAAAAAAAAATGATGAGCGCTAGAACTAAGGTAGTGGCCATGAGGATCAGGAAAATGGGACTGAGGGAATATTTGGAAGGTAGAATGGTAAAGCTGATAGATGGGGGCAGAGTGGGTGGAGGGAAATGCTCCCTTTACTGGCTCAGGCAACAGGGTGGCGTTACTCAGAGAAGGGGGGTGTGGAGACAGGGATTGACACAGGAGGAAGCTGGAGAAATAAGAGTGGTTTTGAACATGTTGAAATTTGGGCCTCTGGAACATCACAGGAGAGATGACCAATGGTCAATCGGATGTGCTAGTAGAAAGGTCTACAGAAAGAGCTGAGCAGAGCCATAGATCTAGAATAAACAGCAAGGTGAAATCGTGAATGTGACTAATGTCACCAGAGGTTTCAAGCAAAAGAATTAGAATAGGATGGAAGATAGTGAGCCACCATGTTGGTCCTTAAGGGATTATGGAGCCATGAGCTAATGAGCCTGGGTCCCTCAAGATTTCATGGAGCAGAACTGTCTCACCAGCCATGAGCTACCAGCCTCTGGATGCTTACAAGAAAGAGAAATAAATGATGTCCTGTCTTACCAAAGCCACTCTTACTTTGTGTTTTTCGGTTATTTGAAGCAGATTCAAATGTCAGTGGATGCAAAGACCAAGGCTAAAACAATCATTCAGCCTGTTGTCATCTTACCTCAGATTCACCCCAGACATACCCTTACACACTGAGTTCATGTAGCCTAAGTCCCCCTGACACAAACTTTCCCAGACACAGATTTGTCCCTCCAACACATACTAGCCTTTCCAGACACCCTTTCCTAAAATGCTGACCTTCAATATACCTACTCACCCCTTTCTGCAAAAAACAACTAGCCCCTTACATACACCCTTTGACTTCATAACCTTATATTCTTTTTTAAAGATTTTTTAATTTTAAAAATCTCTTAGCATTTATTTATTATTGAGAGAGAGAGAGAGACAGAGACAGAGTGTGAGCAGGGGAGGGGCAGAGAGAGAAGGAGACACAGAATCCTAAGCCGGCTCCAGGCTCCAGGCTCCAGGTTGTCAGCATAGAGCCCAATCCAGAGCTCAAACTCATGGACGGCGAGATCAGGACCTGAGCCGAAGTTCGACGCTCAACTGACTGAGCCACCCAGGCGCCCCTAAGATTTTTTTTAGTGCTTATTTATTTCTGAGAGAGAGAAAAACAGTGCAAGTAGGGGAGGAACAGGGAAGGAGGGAGACACAGAATCCGAAGCAGGCTCCAGGCTCCGAGCTGTCAGCACAGAGCCCAATGCGGGGCTTGAACTCAGGAACCAGGAGTTCGTGACCCGAGCCAAAGTCGGACACTTAACCCACTGAGCCACCCAGTGACCCCCACCAAGATTTTGTTTTGAAGTAATCTCCACACCCAATGTGGGGCTCAAAGTCACAACCCAGAGATCAAGAGTTGCTCGCTCCACGAACTGAGCCAACCAGGCACCTCTCATAGCTTCATATTCTTACTGCACCACTCCCTGACACAAAAATTTGGTCCCTTCATGACTCACTGAGACACACAGGCACACCTGCTTCATTTCTCACTCTTTGACTCACTCTGGACGAGCCCTTAAGATAGAGGCACTGATCCTTCACTCACACTTGTGTCTTCAAATTTAACTGTCCATACCCTCAAAGGCACACACACATACTCTCGTAAGTGCAAACACTGGCCTGAGACAAACCTTAAGCGTGACCACACTTAAGCGGACACTCTCACTCCCTTATTCAGACACATTTGTTCTCTCTTATAATTTTAAGAGAAAGTATGTTGACCAGTAATGTGCTGGTAAATGTTTAACAAGTGCCTCCCCAGGCTGGGAAGGAGGAGCTCTGATTTATAGCACTTGTCAATTTCCATGGTGTACTCTGGCCATGGCCAATTTCAAGCTAACAGTGATTTTACAACCTGCTCACAAAATTCCTGACAATGTCACAACGGCTCTCAGAAGCGCTCAGCTCGGCTGTGCCCTGAACGCAGGCCGCCACACATGCCATCGCTTGTTTTAAGTGACTCACTGGCCTTAGCCAGAAGCGTGGGACTTCAATTCTCTACCTCACGGAGGCAGTGTGGTGCGTGGTTAATAGCTAGTACGTTATTATCTTAAAATGTTGTAATGAGGCTTTAAGTGACGTTTATAAGGAACTGCGTACAATGCCTGGCCCATAATAAGAACATCGTACAAAGGTCTTTTTAAATAACACTTTCTGATTCACCCAAGGCCCCAGAAGTGAGATCCAACTTCTCCCCAAGACGACCAGCTCTACCAAAGAGAATCACTAAACTATACCCTCTGAGCCAAGGCATGCTCTAAATTGTGTCATACACGCTCTCTGACCTCAAGGAGTTGAGGGGAGAGAAACTCTAAAATATCAGAGCTGGAAGAGACTGGACACTGGCAGCCCTCAGGCAAATTCAGTTCTCAAAAGCGTTTTGTTTGGTCAGCAGAAAGCCTGTCTCCTCCATTTTCACAGTCCCCATCTTTCCCATTGTCTTATACCCTCCCCACTTTGCTCAGTTATGCTACTGGTCCAGCCCTTCAGTCCATCCAGCTGGCCACTCCCTGATTTAAAACGAATACCCCTGGGGCTCCTGGGTGGCTCAGTAGGTTCAGCATCTGACTTCGGCTCAGGTCATGATCTCACATGTTCGTGGGTTCGAGCCCCACATAGGGCTCTGTGCTGACAGCTCAGAGCCTGGAGCCTGTTTCGGATTCTGTGTCTCCCTCTCTCTCTGCCTCTCTCCCACTCGTGCTTTGTCTCAAAAATAAATAAGCTATTTTTTAAAAATTTTAAATAAAAAAATAAAACGAATACCCCTGTATTTCTACATTGAGGTTTGGTTTTTTTGTTTTGTTTTGGTTTGGTTTTTGTTTAGGTTTTATTTTTAACATTTATTTATTTTTGAGAGACAGAGCATGAGAGAGGGAGGGGCAGAGAAAGAGCGAGACACAGAATCCGAAGCAGGCTCCAGGCTCTGAGCTGTCAGCACAGAGCCCAATGTGGGGCTCGAATCCACAAACCATGAGATCATGACCTGAGCCAAAGTAGGAGGCTTAACCTACTGAGCCACCCAGGCGCCCCTCTACATTGAGGCTTAGAATGATAACAAAAGTAACTTTTATTGACCATTTACTTTGTGCCAGGCATGATCTTAACTAATACTGACTTCAACCCTAGGAGTTGGGTACTTGAATCTTCTTTTCACAGACAGGAAACGGGCTAAGAGAGGCACTGACTTGCCAAGTCACAGACTTAGCACGTGATCTGAATCTTTGAATCGAGGTGTGTTTGACTCTTGTCTACGAAAATAAGACCAGATCGAGGGGAGAAAGGGCATTCCAGGCAAGGGGACCCGATTGAAAGGGGGGTGGACAGCCCTGTCTTCTGTGGATACCAGGCACTGGGGGAAAGCGGTGGACTGAGGGGGGAGGGGGAGCTTTGAACACTGGAAGATAAAGGTCCTGATTTTTGGACAGACGGATTGGGCCCCTTTCCCTTCACTCCTACCACCATCAGGCTAGGGCAAGCCTTGAGTCCTGCAAGAGCCTCTTCAATGGTCTTTCTTTTCTGCTTTCATCTTAGTTCATCTCAGTATATAACCCTCACTCATGACTGTTTGGGAAGGCAAACAGATCTTCAAACGTGCCCCTGCTCAGAATCCTTCGGGACTTTGCCCCTGTTCTGAGGATAAACTCCAAAAGCTTCAATATGACCTTTAAGACCCTGCCTCTGCCTACCCGTCCGGAATCTGTTTGCGCTCACCTCCCCATTGCCTGTTGTGCTTTGTGATAACGCTGGGGTAATATTTAGTAAGGCTCCCCTCACCCCTTGGCTATTTGACCCTTGCAAGTTCACTCAACTTGGATGTCACTTTCTCAAAGAGGCCCTTCTGACTCCCCACGCTACCTAAAGGGGGCCGCTCCATTCTTTCTCATAGCATCCTAGTCTTTCTTTACACAGCTCAGGATGTTACCGGATCATTAATGTGTGTGCAGTGGTTTAAGATTAAGGTCTGTCTCCATCACGGGAAGGCAGATTCCTCAGGGGCAAGGACTGCGCCCATTTCCTTGAGTGCTGTATTCCCGGTGGTTAGCTCAGCCCCTGGCAATATTAACTCTCCAATAAGCGTTCGTAGAATCAAGAGGTGAATTATAGACGCCAGGGAGAGCCATGTCTCCTTTGCACTGGCTGGCATACACACACAGTAAACATCCTCTGGCAGTGCTCAGTAGACACTTGAATGAGTTTTGACAATGGGCGCAAGGATTTATTTCAGCTTAAACTTTATTGGTTTGGTTTCTCTCGGGTACCCGGGAGTGGAGGTGAGACCTGAGTAAGTGAAGGGCAGAGTCCGGGCCTGAGCTGGATTGGGTCTGAGTCACTGAAACCTGGGGAGAGTGGAAAGAGGAGGGGTAGTGCGGTTGGAGAGGGGGGGTCATTACCCACTTAGCGGGCAAAGCAAACCCATCCTGGTGTCCAGCCATGGTTCAGCTGCCACTACCTCCTAATTATCTTCTAAATTATAAGTCATCAGAGCAATTCCAAAAGGCGCCCACTTTCCTGTGGAGAATTTCTCATTCTCTTCTCCATTGTTCTGGTCACACACACCCTTTCCCTTTGCGCCCTCTACAGGAAGCCATCCGGGATTTGTTCCCTGGCTTGCCAGTATGGAAATGTGTCTTGGCTTCCAGGCCTCAGTGTTTGCATCTTGAATGAGTATCCTTCAGGTAGGTGGATCTGTTGTTCCTGGTGTTAGTCAGCCCTTGCTTCCAGGGACATGATAGATGAAAGGACTTCCTAGCTGGTGAGGTCCATTCAAGGACCTAGAGAGGGGTGGCATGCCTCCAACTCCACAAGACTACAGAGGGAAAGCTGGGAAGGATGGGGTGGGCAGGCAGCCTCTCACCCGGACCAAGTGGCAACGAAAGGTCAAGAAGTAATCCTAGCTGCTCACATTACTGAACTCTCTTTCCTTGGATTATCTTATTTAAAGATAATTAATCTTATTAATTATCTTACGACAGATCCCATGAAGTAGTCTGAATAAGCCTTGATGTTCATGAACACACGGAGGTCCAGAGACCCTTATGAATGGGCTAGCGTGTGCTGGGGTGACGATCTGAACCCAGGTGTGGGGCCCCCAACCTCAAACCCTGTGCAAGATGCCCAAAGCCGCCAGCCCTCCCCCACCCCTCCCCCCACCTGAGCCTGCAGATTTCCATCTGATCCACCATCCATGCCAGCAGCTCTCGAATCAGTAAATCCTTTAGCAGATCTTCTTCATTGGGGTTCTTGGGCAGGGAGCTGCAGAGAAGAAAGCCTCCAGCAGGCCTGGCCTTCTTTTTTTTTTTTTTTTTTTTAGCCTGGACCCCACCCGGGAGTGAGTAAATACAGGGCCTGGGACTCCAAGGGACAGCGGGGGTTGGAGCCAGGAGTCAACACAGCTGCTCTCGGGTCATCTCAGCTTTCAAAGCTCCACCCTAGTCTGCAGGCCAGGGGAACGGGGGTCTTCAATACAGACGTCCCCCCACCACCACCTCTGCAAGTATCCCAGAATGCCTCCCCCAAACTGGAGAGGTGACTTAGGGAGCATCCACTCTTTAGAATGATCAAAGATTCCTCGGCTTCCTCAGATAGGGAGAAACTGATGTCAAGGGACGGGCTTTGGAAGGGCCCCTGTTCCTCAAACAGCCTTCCTGAAGTGTGTCGGGGACAAGAAGTGGGGAAGCCATTCCTGAGGTCTCTCTCGCTGCCCCTCTCCTTGACTCTCTGACTCTGCACACGGAGTCATCCATCTTCGGGACTCTGGCCCCCAAACCCCACCTTGGACCCCAGCCCCTATTTCTCCCAGGCTTCTCCCTTAAGCTGGGGCTGGCCTCCAGGAACTCAGAGAAGACCCCTCTTTGAACTGGGAGTGGGAGGGGACGCTTATCTGGGGCCTTGCCCTGATCCAGGGTCTGGGAGAGAGAACAATGCAGCCCTGCCCCCACTCCTTCCCCTGTGGGCTGACTCACCCCTGCTGCTCCCTCGCCTCCTCCTTCCTGTTAGATTGATGGGCCAGCTCTAGGGCCCCGGCCTCCCTCTGGGTGATGTTGTGTTTCCAGCTGGGAAGGTAAAGATTAGGGAGTGGGTGGGGCTGGGCAGACTCCAGATGTCCTCCAGTCCAAAGGCTCCAACCTTTGGGGACCTTAACCCAAGTTGCAGATGGAGGGCACTTCCTTCTCTGTTCAACCGCCCCACGGCTTGTCTTCGGCTGCCAGAGAACAGCTTACCAGCGTCTACCATGCTGGCCAAACAGCGAGGGCGAGGGGAAGGGACTTGGCCAAGGGAAGGAAGAAGGACAGGGGCAGTTTATCCTATTTCCAAAGTCCGAAGGGACCACCACCAAATCATCATCGTCAGCAGCTCAGCGATCTCTATCTTAGTCCCCAGCCCAGTGGGGATCCTCTGTGAGCCTCCCCCCATCTTCCCTGACCCCTCTCCTTAGAAGATTGGAAAATTGCCTTAGTCCCACGCCAAGCCCGCGTCAGGGCCACCATGTCATCCAGCTCCCCATCGGTGCCTAAGTGAAAGGCGCTGCCTGGAGTGGAAGCACAGGCCCGTGTGGCCCACGTGGCGTCCGGTCTAAACGAAGGAAGGCGCAGCCCGCCTGGGGCCAGGACAGGGCTTGCGCACCGACTTACTCATTCTTCTTCCCCTTCTGGGCCAGGAGCCAGTTCACGAAGTCTTGCTGGCGGATCTTGTCCATAGCGATGCTGTAGTCACTGATGAAAGTCCCCTCGGCGTACCTGGGGCCTCGAGGTCGGGAGCCAGTGACCTTCGTGTGGAATCTAAGGGGCAGGGAGGGGAGACGGAGAGAAAGCAGGACACCGTGGAAAGGGGTGGGGGACGAGGGGAATCACAATGCGGGAGCAAATGATTGTCACCGACAGGGGAAGCCGATGATTGAAAACAACCCTCCCTCCTTGCTTGGGAGTCACTTTTCATGGAAACACCCTCTCGTCTATGCATCAAGCCCCTGGAACTTTGTCCTCAGCCCCAGGACCCACTTCCTACATCCTTGGCGTGTGTGGCTCTGGCTTCTGGACAAAGAGGGATCAGGGGTCGCCCTGATTTCAGTTCCCTCCTTTACTCCTCTTGCCTGGCCCAACCCCTTTCAAGTCTTTGTTCTTAATCAATACCAACAATAGTGAGCTCTCACATAACAGCGTTTACTCTTTTCCAGGCCCTCTGTAAGCCCTTTACTACGTAAACTCATTAGATCCTTATAACACCCCTACAAGGTAGACACTATATTTTTTTAAGTTTATTTATTTTGAGAGAGAGCGTGCGCACATAAGCAGGGGAGGGGCAGAGAGAGGAAGAGAGAGAGAATCCTAAGCAGGCTCCAAGTGCAGAGTCCGATGTGGGACTTGAACCCACAAACCGTGAGATCATGATCTGAACCGAAGTCAGACGTTCAACCCCCTGAGCCACCCAGGCACCCCCGGTAGACACTATTTCTGTCCCTTTTTGCCTTTTTGCGAATGAGGAAACCAAGGTGCAGAGAGATTGCTCCGGTGGTAGATCTAGGATTTACCCTCAGGCAGTCTGGGCCCAAGTTCGAAGCTACTATGTGGTGTCCCCTGTCCTCCTACGCCTCTGACAGCTGTGCCTCGCGCTCACGTGTCTCTATTCATGCTGCAGATGGCTAGTCCTTGCCTCGGACAAGGCCCAGCTCTGTGCTCAGCCAAGTCCCTCCCGGCCCTCCAGAGCACCATGTGCTTTTTTTAAAATTTATTTAAAAAAAATTTTTTTAATGTTTCTTATTTATTTTTGAGGGAGAAATAGAGACAGCGTGAGCAGGGAAGGGTCAGAGAGAGAGGGAGACACAGAATCTGAAGCAGGCTCCAGCCTCAGAGCTAGCTGTCAGCACAGAGCCCGATGCGGGGCTCGAACCCACAAACTGTGAGATCATGACCTAAGCCGAAGTCAGACGCTTAACTGACTGAGCCACCCAGGCGCCCCCAGAGCACCATGTGCTTAAAACACTCTGCTTTTCTTCCCGATGCTCAGGACCGTTTGCAACGTGCCTAGGTGGTTCTTGCTTTCCCCTTGGGCCTGTATGTTCCATGAGGCATTTGTGGGCCACTCCGTACACATATGTCCTGTGGCCGGCACCCAGGGGGGCCTTCTATACAGTTTGATCAAACGCACACAGAAATAAACGTCTAAGGCTTTCATTAGGAAGGGAGATGCTATCATCAACTTCAGAAGCTTAACCACCGAGAAAGTCCTTCCAGAGGATCCGATCACAGTCTCTCTTGTGGCAACGGGGGCTCTCATCTGGCCCTCCCCGCCGACAGCCAGAACCCGGGGGTCAACCTCTCCAGCCTCCTCCCCTGCGCCCCTACCTGGAGTGAACCTCCCCTTTCTCTGCTAACGCCGCGGCCAGGAGCAGGGACCCCAGCAGCAGATTGAAGATCTTCAAGGCTACCATCGTCCAAGGGTTATTTCCTGAGCAAAGAGAGAAAAGAAAGGGACCGGGATGAGGGAAGCGCCGTGCTCAGGGACAGCCAGCGTGGCCGGCCAGGTACTGCTGATGCCCGCGAGCCTGCGTGTGGGTTCTGAAAGCTGGCGACCCTGAGCTCCGGGGGATCCGGGCTTTTCTGAGAGGCTGGGGCAACACCTTGGAGAGCGTCAGGGGGCGCTGGGCCTTGGAGTTAGTAACTAGAAGGGTCGTGGAGGCTGGCCAAGAGGAGGACCTGCTTTTTGTTGTCCCGTCTGAGCAGAGTCCGAGTCGGGGCAGGGCAGCGGGGAAAGGAGCAGGCAGAAGAAAGCAGCAAAGCATCGTGGCATGTGGCTTGGCGAGTCTCCCCTGAGAGCCTCCAATGTTCAGCAGCTTCCCTTCCAGCTCTCGGATTGGCGGTCGCCTAACCCATCGCGGAGCCTCTTGCCCCAAGTGAAAGTCACAGGTAGGACCACCCCATCCTCTCTTCTCCAGCGTCACCGTTACTACTCAAGGAAGCCCTTCCCGGGGTCCCCCTGCAGGAAGATGACGGCTGGCAGCCCAGGCATCCCTGGGTATAGCTTTGGTCTTCGGGGCCCAGAAGGAAAGTTCATTACTGCTCTTCAACCTGGGTGTTATAGGAATCCTCAGAGCCGCCTTCTTATTTCTCGTGCAGGGGAAAAGAAGGCGCGGTGCAGGGGTGAGGGTGCTGAGCATTGCTGGGCACCAAGACCCCCTGCCCCTCCGGTATCCCGTCCATCCCCTGTCCCCGCTGCTGTCTTACCTGGCTTCCTTTCCAGCTCTTCCTTAGGAGGACGGGGCAGGGATTTCTTCCTCCGACCTTCTGGTCCTGGGAAGCCTCTCTCAAGAAAGTCTGCTGTAGCTCCTTTATATCCGGGCATCGCAGACCTGCTGATTCGCCTAAAAGCATCTTATCTCAAGAAATTAATTCCGCAGCTCGGGCCACATTAGGTCCATTTCACGCGTAATAAAGTTGCCCTTTCCACCTGAACTGTGCTAATTGATGATTAACATTTTGGGTATTTCCAGCTGCCCAGGAGGCGGGCTACCCTTAAGTGTCCCCTGTCTTCTCCCCCCTCCTCCCTTCTGGGCACACTTCCTTTACAGGTGCTCTCCATTAGAAAGGAGGCCCTGGGCAATGGCAGACTTGGGTAGGGTGGCACCGGCTGGGGTAGAATCACTGCCATGGGCAGCAAGCCGCCCTGGGTCAGAGAGAGTGGGGCACAGTCATTTGAACCTCAGCCCTGGACAGCGGCCCACCGCTTTGACAGTGAGGAAATGTCCCCATTGCGAAATCTAGGGGGACACCCCAGCTGGCTGGGGACAGGGCTGGAGAGTGAGGCGGTTGAGGGAACACGAAGGAAGGTAGGCAGCTACAAGTCTATGTGCAAAGATTTATTGGGGCGCCTGGGTGGTTCAGTTGGGTAAGCATCCAACTCTTGATTTCGACTCAGGTCATGATTTCACCGTTCGTGAGTTCGAGGCCCTCATTGGGCTCTACACTGACAACACGGAGCCCGCTTGGGATTCTCTCTCTCTCTCTGTCTCTCTCTGCCCCTCTTCCAGTTGTGCACCCTCTTTCTCTCTCAAAATAAATAAACATTAAAAAAAAAAAGATTCTCTCTCTCTTTCTCTTCCCACCCTGCCCCTCTCCCTGCTCACATGCTCTCTCTCTAAAATATAAAATAAATCCTTAAAGGAAAATTATGAGACCCAAGCCTCTCTCCTCAAATGCCCTACAAGAGAATGCCCTATACAAGAGAAGTCTGTGGTTCTGTCTCTGCCATCAGAGTAGGGGCCCCGAGGGTCTGCTGTGCCTGTCAGACTGGAGGGCTCACCAGGGCAGGGGCTCAGTCTCCCTGATCACACTGGGGGCTCTCTGAGATCAGAGGCTAGCCGTTCCCCATCCTAGTGGAAGCTTCCTGAGGCTAAAGGCCATCCTCCAGGTGGTGCCTCTGACTTCCTCCAAGCACTTAGCACAGGGCTCTGCCCTCAGGGCTCAGGCTCGAAGTGACAGGGCAGACACTGCATTTTGGCCAGACCCCCAAGTCTTTCCTTGCTAGACTCTTCCTTCTCCGCTCCCCGTGGTACTTTGGACCCTAAACAAGTGAGCTCGTGCTCTGCCTCCCAGCTCCAGGGGCGGCTAATAAAGGCCACTTTCCTTTCCAGGTAAACTGTGCATCCAGGAAGCTACTCCAGCTTGTTAAATGCTTGTGTGGGACGGGAGGTAACTGGTCTAGGGGAGCAATTCAGCTCTGCTTCCTAGAAACCGCGCCCACCCACCACCTATGTTTCACTGTCTAGAAAGACTTCTCTCCGGGCAAGCGCTGCAAATTCCATCTCCCGGCTATCATTGGGTGGCGATTAGACATCAATTCAGATTTGGCCTCCAAAGGGGATGCGGGGGTGCTTGTGATCCCATTTCCTGTTGGGCAGCAGTTAATGGGCTCAGAAGGGTTTGCATCAAAACCCGGGCACCCCTACCTGGAGTCACAAGGTATCCAAGAAGGGTGGACATCATTCCCTAGGTCTCATGCCAGACAAGAGTCAAGGAAGGTTCTGGGATGGGTCCTGGCAGCCCTGAGTCCCTGCCTGGAGTTCTGGGGATTTGTTTTGGGGGCCAGGCTGCTTTGAGTTGTGCCTCAAATCCTTACCTCTCTGTGTCTTCTAGAGAGGACCTCAATGCTGTCCTCCAACCTGTGTCCCTTTGATCTCTGCCTTTTATGCAGTGGGACAGACTAGGGAGAATGTGGCCTGGGCCCTGAGGGAGGAAGGAATGTGGGGAAGGCTGGAGGAGATCAGAGAAGATGCCAGATGCCCTGGGGAGCCCACAGCCCCCAACCCAGGGCATACTGGGAGGCTCAGGGAATGGAAGAGATGGCCTTCCGAGGGCCAGCTGGACTTGATCGAAATAGTTCAGTGATTCCTCTGTGACCCCACCAGCCCCTCCAGGCACGATGAGAGGTGCCTGAGGGTGGAGAATCCCCACAGGGTGTAGGGGTGGGGGCAGGGAGGGGGGCCCTGGAGGTGGCAGACCCTGACTGGGGACAATTTCCAGGATGTGAGGGGTCAGAGAGGTCACAGGGGATGGGAAGGCTGGAGGAAGCCTGGATACAAAGGCCAATGGCCCAGGCAGGTAAAGGAGGTGTGTGGGGGGGTGGTATGTAAGGACTCACAGAAGCCAGAGAGTCAGCGCAGGAAGGCAAGATGGCAGTGTTATTGCAGAGAACCCAGGGGTCCCTGCTTCCCAGAGCCTCCTGATTCTGGATCGAGGCTCCACGATGAGAACCGGAGCAGCAGAGAGCCTTTGGGGTTTGCTGGCTTTTCTAGCAAGAACTAGAAGGTGGTGACTCACCTCCCACAATCTGCATCCCACCCCCCCGCCCCCCCACCCCAGCCCAAGGGCCAAGGCGGACATTCCAGGCCAGCACCACAGCCAGGCCAGGGTGACTCAGAGGGCTGGCTGCAGCCTCCCTTGCTAAGGACTCGGCCTCAGAGGTCCACTTGGGCCTCAAGCTCATCAGCTGACTCAGAAAGCAGATACCTCTCTCTGATCTCTCTTATACCAGGTGGCAGATTTATACTTCCTCTCCTGAAGAGGAGACAGAGAGATAGGCTTTGCTGAGTCATCTGGTCTGTGCTGGTTCCTAGAAGGATCGTCCCCCAGCCCTCCTCCCCAGTCACATCTAGAGCACGGTCGTGGGTCCAAACATTTCTGTGCACACCAGCCCTGGTAACACTAAGGTCAAGAGAGGTACTTTTCAGAGGAATCTTCAAGAAAGAATATACTTGGTCATTGAGATCATCATACCCTTGCATGGCGACAGATGGCTAACTCCATTTATGGCGGTGAGCGTTTTTATAACGCTTTTTCTAATGTATTATTTATAATACATTAATAATCGTAATGCATTATAATTGTCCAGTCACTATGCTATATACCCCAAACTAATATCTGAACTGTGCTTCGATGAAAATAAATAAATAAAGGGGCTCCCGGGTGGCTCATTTGGTTAGGCATCTGACTCTTGATTTTGGCTCAGGTCAGGTTCTCGTGGTTTGTGAGTTCGAGCCCTGGGTCGGGCTCTGCACTGACATCACGGAGCTTACTTGGGATTCTCTTGTCTCCCTCTCTCTCTCTGCCTCTCCCCTGCTCATGCTCTCTCTCGAAATAAATAAATAAACTTTAAATCAATCAATCAATTAAAACTGTCCATTAAAAACAGGGAATATACTATCTACAACCTCCCTTGGGCAGCTGCTTTAAGGGGTCTGTTTGGAAGTCCCTCTGGGTTCTAACCTCAATCCCTCTTGCTGTTTTCAAAGGCTTTATTTTGTCTGCCTTTGTTTGTCAAGAAAAGAGCTCAGCCCTAATCACTTGGGAAGAGAACTTCAGGGAAGAGTTAGAATGGTGGGGGGAGGGGAGAGGCTGGCAGGCACAAGGCTCTCATTTCCCGAGAGGGAAGGAACTGGTGGTGCTTTTAGGCTGAAAAGCCAAAGGGGCTGGGCCTCCCAGGGAAAGCTGCATTCCTGACCCTTTCTCTGCCCCAGGTGGGAGCACATTCCGGGGGGAGGGAGGTGAGGGGTGAGAAGAGAGGGCTTCCCTTCATTTCCCCTGCAGGGGGACGACTTCCAGGGTCCCCAGCGAGGGCCCCTCCCCACCACCGCCACACACCCATTCCCAGGATAGGTTCAGGGAGAGCCCTCTAAAGCCTTAGCAACTAGCCAACCACACCCTTCTTTAGGTAGATTAGGGAGTAGCCTGTGGGGCGGAGAGGGGGCGTTCCAGCCGCCCCTCCCCAGTTGAGGTTTGGCTTTGGGCAAAGCCCTTATCCACTCTGAGCTTTAGTTTGCCCACCTCTGGATTGGAGATAAGACAACAGAATCCAGGAGCGCCTGGTTGGCTCAGCCCTGTTGCTCTTAGGGTGGTGAGTTCAAGCCCCACTTCGGGCATAGAGCCTACAAAAAGC